ACAGAGCCCGACGCGGGGCCCGAACCCACGAACCGTGAGATCATGACCTGAGCCGAAGTCGGACGCCCAAGCAACTGAGCCACCCAGGGGCCCCAGAAGAGCATGTGATTCTTGATCTTGGGGTCATGAGTTCAAGCCCCACGTGGCGTGTAGAGATGACTTAAAGAAAACGGTTTTATTGAGATATAACTCACATTCCGTGTAAGTCACCAACTTAAATCGTACCATTCAGTGGTTTTTCATATATTAATAGAATTGTGAAAACATCCCCACAGTCAACTTTTAGGGCACTGTCATCATCCCAGTGAGAAACCCCATAGACATTGGCTGCTCCTTTCCAGATTGTTCCATCCCTCACTCCCCCCCCCCCCCCGGGGCAACTACCACTCTACTTTCTGTCTCTGGGGATTTGCCTATTCTGACATTTCAGATAAATAGGATCGTACAATATGGTGTCTTTCATGACTGAGTATTTCCGCTTAGCCTAATGTTTTCGAGCTTTAACCAGATAGTGTTTTTCTTTTTAAAAAAAATTTTTAAAATGTTTATTTATTGGGGCGCCTGGGTGGTGCAGTCGGTTAAGCGTCCGACTTCAGCCAGGTCATGATCTCGCGGTCCGTGAGTTCGAGCCCCGCGTCAGGCTCTGGGCTGATGGCTCAGAGCCTGGAGCCTGTTTCCGATTCTGTGTCTTCCTCTCTCTCTGCCCCTCCCCCGTTCATGCTCTGTCTCTCTCTGTCCCAAAAATAGATAAACATTGAAAAAAAATGTTTATTTATTTATTTAAAAAAATTTTTTAATGTTTATTTTTGGGAGACAGAGACAGAGCGTGAGCAGGGGAGGGCAGAGAGAGAGGGAGACACAGAATCCGACGCAGGCTCCAGGCTCCGAGCTGTCAGCACAGAGCCCGATGTGGGGCTTGAATGCACAGACTGTGGGATCATGACCTGAGCTGAAGTCGACCCTTCACCGACGGAGCCACCCAGGCGCCCCCAAATTCAACACTTACGAGCAGGCAGTCACCCTCCTTCATGAATTAGGCTCATTTGTTTGGGACATTTATGTTCCCAGCCTGCTCCTTGTGGCCCTTGAGTTCTGTGCCCCGCTGTGGAAGATGGCCTTTGACCTGGAATTTGAAGTCTGGATCTGAATTAGCCAGACAGGAGGCAAAAGGGGGCAGGATGAGGGGGTGAGGATTTATTTACTTACTCCCAGACAGTCCCACAACATGGATTAGTGTCACATACTTCCTTTTAAGAGTTAGTTTTTTGGGGCACCTGGGTGTCTCAGACGGTTAATCGTCCGACTTCGGCTCAGGTCATGATCTCACGGTCCGTGAGTTCGAGCCCCGCGTCAGGCTCTGTGCTGACAGCTCGGAGCCTGGAGCCTGCTTCGGATTCTGTGTCTCCCTCTCTCTCTGCCCCTCGCCCCCTCTCAAAAATAAATAAACATTAAAAAAAATTTTTTTTTTCAATTAAAAAAAAAAAAAGAATTCGTTTTCCCACAACAAAGAAGTCATGCAGGCACGTGGCAAAGCGAATCTGCAGAACCCAAAGCAAGGCTCCCGTCTTGGTCTGTGGTCTTCCTCTCTCTCCTTGGCTGCCGTCGGAATTTTGGAAGTCCGTAGCCCTCCAGAAGCCGGTCACCCGTGCGGATTCAAACATTTACACGCGCGTGGATCCCCTCTCCTCCTTTTGGCTTTTCTTTGAAAGGGGGCCACGCTTTGAAAACACTTTTAAAATAAAAAGTGAGGGAAAACCCACAAAAAATGAAAACACAGCCCAGAACCCTGTGGTTTTGTTTTGGTTTTCACTTTTATTACAGAAGTTTTTGCAGAGTACAAATGAACAGAGACGCCAGCACAATGAACCCTCACATACCTCCCATCTGCGCCTACAGTGAACTCCCTTTTGCCCATTTTTTTTTTTTCATTCATAACCTGTTTTCTTTGATTTTGCTCATTTTCCCTTGGGGTTGGAGTATGTTAAAGACCTTGTCGTTTTTGCGTAAATATGTGTTGTGATCGTTGTGTATAGAGGTTTGCCTCGTTCGTGTAAACAGAGATGTAAAATGTCCATTACGTGGGTATTCTATATATTAAAAAAATTTTTTTTTAGGTTATTTACTTATTTTGAGAGAGAGGGCGAATTTGAGCAGGGAGGGGGAGAGGGAGGGGGAGAGAGAGAATCCTAAGTAGGCTGCGCATTGTCAGCGTGGAGCCTGATGTGGGGCTGGAACTCACTAACCGTGAGGTCGTGACCTGGGCTGAAATCAAGCGTCTGACGCTTAACGGACTGGGCCACCCAGGCGCCCCTGCGTATCCCGTATTTTAATCCACCCCCCTTCCTCCTCTTATATCAGCATTGAGTTCGTTTCCAGACTCTTGACATTATAAACAATGTCACCAGATGCATTCAGTTTCAGGCCATGATGTCATCATTTGACCTTACCCATTCTCCTGCCTGGGAAGTAGCATTGAGTGGCAGAGTTAATATTCCCCACCACTAGCCGGAGGGTCCGTATATGGTTCAGTGGAGAAGACATTTGAGTTACATTTTGCCTCCCCACTCCCTGGGTAGGAGTTTTATCAGCTAGGATTAGGTTCAACTGTGAGTGGCAGAAAATCACAAGCAGTGGCTGAAGCCAGATAGAGGTTCATTATAGAAGTTCGTTGCTGTCTCACGTGAAAACCTTTACGCACTGGCTCCAGGGTGGGAGTGACCCTCCACGGTGTCAAGAACTCGAGCTCTTTTTACCTTGTTCTGCTGTGAGTGGGTTCCATTCCCAAAGTGGCTGCCCTAGCTCCAGCTATCGTGCCTGTATTCCAGGCAGCGAGAAAGAGGAAAGAAAAGGAAAAAGCACACTTCTCCTTTAGGCGCCTTTCCTGAAAGTTGCACATATCACTTCCACTTACGTTTCACGGGCCAGAACTTAGTCGCCACGGCCATCTGGTTGCAAGGGTGGTGAGAAAGGCAATCTTTATTTGGGGTGAATGTGACCTCGGCTACAAATCAGATGTAGGCATTGCACTGCTAGTGTGTGAACAAGGTGTGGTGGGGGCTGCCAACGACGCCTGAAGGGAGATCAGGAAAGGCTTCCCAGAGGAGGTGATACAGGAATTTGCCTAAGACGGGCGAGGTTTGCTTTTTATGAGATGAAACAGAATAAGCTGGGCATTAACGGGAAATTCGATTTAAAAACTTGAAGTTGTTCCCAAACCTTTGTCATTTTCTAAGAAATTCTGTATTGAGTCCATGGCAAGAGTTAACTACCCCAACTGAAGAATTATCTGTTGAGTGGATGAGTGAATGAGTGAGGAGGGAGGGCTGTGAATGACTCCCAGCGCTGTGACCCTGGGGGGTTCCTGGGGCAGACCTTCTTTTCTGAAGGTAGCCACGATCATCCCTCTCACCTCACGGGCCCTTCCGCAATTTGTCCTTGTCGCTCCTCCGGAAGGGGGGATCTATCGCACGACCCCTGGGAATCTGGGCAAACGCTGTGGCTCCTTTGGCCCACAGAGCCGGGCACACGTGAAGCTGCGTTAATTCTAGAAGAAGCCCTTAGCTGGCCTTGTGGTTTCCACCTCCTGCTTCTTGTGACGACCCGGCTGGTGAGGAGCCCGAGTCACATGGAGAGGCCTGGAGGAGGGGACCCCACGGAGAGAGAGAGACAGAGAGACAGAGAGAAAGAGAGAGAGGAAGGGAGAGACTAGGGCGGGTCAGGGTGCCAGGCAAGTAATAAAGAAGTCAGTTATCTTGGAAATGGACCTTCCAGTCCCGCTGCCCTGGCTGATGCCACGTGGGTTGGAGAACCGTCCCGCTGAGTCCTCCTTGGATTCCAGACCCACCAGTGCTCACGTGAAATAAATGTGCTTTGCGGCAGAGCAACGGATCTCTGGAAACCTGCCTTGAGAGGCTAGGCTATGGAGCATGCTGGGCTGTCCCTGGCAGAGCCCCACACGGAGGGCCAGTGGAGGACATCTAGGGTGCGCTGACGGGGTGACCAAAGCCGGCCGTGGGCGTAAGTCTCGTGTGGCCTCCGTCAGCCGTCAGCCATCAGCCATTCTGCACGGAGAGAGAGAGGGCTCCTTAGAGGCACTATCTCACGTTTTTAGACGCACCCAGAACTAGCCTGTCAGGTAAACAGCAAGGGAGCTCTCGAACACATCTCGGCTCCTGTCAAAAGGACTCAGGAACCAGCTTGAAAAGGTCCAGACTGGCCAGAGAAGAGACAATGTGAGCCTTCGTAAGGACAAGAGCCGGGATGGGCCTCGCCCCTCCTGGGAACTCCTCTCCCCGCCCTGACACGGGCCTGCCTTGACTGCCCATGAGCCGAAGCCCCGCTCGGACCCTTCCTTTGTCTCTGTCGTTCTCCAAAAGGCTTGCTGTGTCTTCTCGATCCTCCCTTCTCTCCAGACACCAGATCTGCACGTCTTTCCCACCCCGTGACTCCCACAGCAGTGGGGCCATGGCCCCAGCCTCTCCTCGGGCATCGTGGAGGCCACGCCAAGCAAGGCTGGAGTGCGTTGGGCCTGGCAGTTCGGAGGGGCCGTAGGGCGTGCATGAGCAAGGAAGGAAATGAGGTCTAGGCCCGTCCCGTCCCGTCTCCTGGTGAGTCTGGGGAAGACGGCGGGCGTCTTTGCGTGCAAAGGCCAGGAGCAGGGTTGGGTTTGGAGTGCGGAGGATGGCTGGTTGACCCACCCCACGGTCTCGCAAGAATCTCCAAAGGAGAGGGGCGCCTGGGTGGCGCAGCCGGTTGGGCGTCCGACTTCAGCCGGGTCACGGTCTCGCGGTCCGTGAGTTCGAGCCCCGCGTCGGGCTCTGGGCTGATGGCTCGGAGCCTGGAGCCTGTTTCCGGTTCTGTGTCTCCCTCTCTCTCTGCCCCTCGCCCGTTCATGCTCTGTCTCTCTCTGTCCCAAAAATAAATAAACATTGAAAAAAAAAAAAAAAAAAGAATCTCCAAAGGAGAAGCCTTTAAAGCTCTTGGCAGCTTGAAGGGGTTGCGTTGCTGGTAGGCCCAGTGCCGCAGGTGACCTGGACCGGAGCCCGGGTGGGAGCCAGATCTATTTTACTCCCACAGGACCTGCCTGGCCTTTGTCGGCTGTAGGGAGGTGCATTTCCCCCTCCCCTGTGGGCAGCAAATTCCCCACGAGTCAGCAGGAAGTGCCTCTGGGCTCACCTACCGGCTTCTATTGGCTTGTGAGATGGACGAGCCAAGTGAGGGTGCAAGGCCTCTGTGCCTCCCTGGGGCCCACCAGCCTGGAGACGCCCGCGGGTGTCCCTCAGTGTACCAGCCTGCTCACTGGCCCTCCTTGTCACCTCCCGACATCCAGGTGCTGAGCGTGGGCTCCTTCCCTTCATTCCGTGGAGAATAAATTAAGGCACCTGGGGTCGAGGCTTAAGGCTCTCGGTCCCCTGTGCCCGTACCCCGTGCCGGGCACCGTCCTCAAGTTTTCACGTGCTAACCGGCCCAACGTCCGAACTCTGTTGCACGGACCCAACAGGTACGTTCTACTATTTTACTCCCCGCTTCACAAATGCAGAAACCGGGGCGCAGAGAAGTCAGGCGAGCGACCCAAGGACGCACGGTTCCTCGGTAAGATAGCCAAGTCCCGCCTGGCTCCCAGAAGCTGTCCCAGGTTGACACCCGCAATGACCGTGCCTTGTGTCCCAGCCGGCTCTGAATCTCCCCATCCTCTTGGGACCTCGGAGGATCTTTCAGATTTGGGGTCACGGGTGAGGCTAGAAGGTGCGTACCCAGCCCGCTGCAAACGTGGTCGGGTCGTCGGAGTGGCGGAAGAGGGGCCGATTCCAAGCAGCTGCTTGGTGACAACAGTTCTCTCCTCCTGTTCATCCAGAGAGCATTTCGTTTCACAACAATGCTGTAAGGGGCTGGCCGGAGAGGGCTCCCCGCCCGCGTCAGGTACTGATCAGAAACTCCGGGCTGGGACCAATAATGCGCTGTGTCTTCATAAGCTCTAGATGATTGTTGGCAGTAAGGAAGCTGACCGTTGGTCTCATCCGTCCCTGCACCTGGCCAGGTGTGGCACAGAGTAAGTGCCCGTTACAATGAGTGAGATCAATAGCTCGTCTGCTGCTCTGCCATCAGAGGCCTCAAATGAGATCGTGGACATAGAGTGCCTGATTGAAGCCTCAGCACACAGTAGGCCCTCACTAAGGGGGGGCAGGAAGGATTGTCCCGGCACCAAGGTTGGAGGGCTGCGCGCTGGGAGCCGGTGGGGCTCGCCGAGGAGGGAGAGAACCAGGACGGAAGATTCAAGGTTGGGGGGCGTGGTGACTGCTGATGTCACAATGCCCCCATTTGCCTGGATGTGTCGGGCTCCTGGACCCCCCCGAGGGTGGCAGAGGGCATGGCCAGCAGCAGCGAGAAGATCACCGGGGAAGTGGAATCCAGGACCAGGGGGACATTTGCGGACCAGAAATAAGCACGGGGCAGAAGAACCAGCAAGATCCTGGCGGAGGCAGGGGGAATCACCGAGACCTGTCAGGTACTGGTCCGGGTGGACCGGCAGGTGTCCCTGAAGGGGAGAGTGCAGGGTCCCAGTGAGAGTGCACACACCCAGCTACCGGAAGGGTACGTCCTTCACAGGAGCCCCCCCGTTTGTTTGCGGGTTCCCGGGGCATCAGGCGGTCGTTTCCTGGAGTGGCCTCAATTCTGGTCCCACGGCCTCCCGGGGACTCTGTCCAACGTACTGATGTCCCAGCCCCACCGCTCAGACCCTGATTCACTTTGCAGAGGGCTGGGGCACGGGTACATTTAAAAAAAATGGTCAGGTGATTCTACTGTGCTTTCAGGGCAACAATTCTACTTAAACAAGAAAACAAAACACACACACACACACCCCTACATGATCCAGCTATGTTTTCTTTTTTTAACGTTTATTTATTTTTGAGACAGAGAGAGACAGAGCATGAATGGGGGAGGGGCAGAGAGAGAGAGGGAGACACAGAATCGGAAGCAGGCTCCAGGCTCTGAGCCATCAGCCCAGAGCCCGACGCGGGGCTCGAACTCACGGACCGCGAGATCGTGACCTGGCTGAAGTCGGACGCTTAACCGACTGTGCCACCCAGGCGCCCCGATCCAGCTATGTTTTCTAATGAGCAGCGGGGGTCGCGTGTCGTGTCCCCCCAGAGATGCTCAGACTCTGGACAGAGCTCAGCTCCAAGAGAAAGTTAAGCTAGGACTGGTAAAGTCATGAAATTCACTATCAGGAATCTATAGGAACCGGGGCGCCTCCGGGGTGGCTCAGCCGGTTGAGCGTCCGACTTCGGCTCAGGTCACGATCGCGTGGTTCGCGAGTTTGTCCCGAGTCGGGCTCTGTGCTGACGGCTCGGAGCCTGGAGCCTGCCTTCGGATTCTGTGTCTCCCTCGCTCTCTGCCCCTCCCCTGCTCACGCTCCGTCTCTCTGTCTCTCACAAATAACTGTTAAAAAAAATTAAAAAAATAAAACCAAAAGCAACACTCAGTAAACCTTATGATCGGTGAAGGCAGCGCGGTGTAGACGGGGTAGCAAGGAGAAAAGGCACCTTCTGCTGGGCCTAGCACCCAGGCAACCATCCCATCGTGGTGTTGCTGGAGGCCACAGCCCCAGAGGCCCCTCCGTGCCGGCCTCTCTGGTTCTACACTCGGTCTGGCTACACTGCGTCCGTCCGAGAAAAGCCGAGAGGCAAGAATATGAGAAGCCAGGGTTCTTGGGTTCAAATTCAGACCCTGCCGCTTGTCTGGGGGAGAGCTGCTGACTGTGTTCAGACAGCTGGTCCCTGCATGCTTGGGTCCCGGGGTCACAGCCCTCAGACCCCCTGGCGGCCACTTTTCTCCCTCCGTTTTAGCGGACGTTACTGCAGGGATGCCTCCCCCGTGCTTGACGCCTGGACTTGTGCAGGGCACAACGGTGGCTTCCTCCCCAGCTGAGCAATGCTCAGGCCCCGCAAAGCCCGGGTCTGCTCTGGGTGTGACAATTGTAGAAGGCTTGCTTTGGTCCCCAGGCTGAGCAGTGGACGGCCCTGGGCTTCCTTCCTCGCTCCCTCTGGTCAAAGCGAGAGCCCCTTGGTGCCATATTGGAATCGGTCAGTGCGTGTCTGTGTCTCCGTGTACGTATGTCTGGGTGTCTGTGTGTCTGAATGTTTATGTGTGGGCACGTGCCTGTCTCCGTGTGCGTGGCCTGCCCACCCACGCCTCCCGGAGTCCCCGATCGCTGTGCCTCCTGCTTACGTGTCACCCCACGGGCTCCTTCCTGCCCAGAGGTGGTCATGGAGCTGTGAGGACAGACGCCAGGCTGCAGAAACTTGGGGGGGGGAGGTGAGGAAGAGGGCAACAGTTAGTACAGGCCACTCCCTGGGGGAACTGTGGCCGAGAAAAGTAGCAAAACAGAAGTCAGGGAAGCTCGGGGTCAAGGGAAGAATTTGTTAGAGACGGGGAGATGCGGGTTGTTTGGACACAGAAGGGGAGGAGCAGAGGAGAGGGGCAGTTGGGAAATGCTGGCGGGGAGGCAGGCAGTGGGGCTGGATCGGAGAGGCTGAGGAGGGTGGGGCCGGTCCCAGGACTTGTTTCCCAGCCCCGAGGCCATGCGTACCCCCAGCGTCTAGTGCTGTCACCGCCCCCGGAATGAGCGCTCACCTGCAAAGGGGCGGACGGAGGCCAGCTTTGCCAAGGCAGCAAGCACTCAGTGGGGTGGCGGTAGTGCTCGCGAACTCCCGCGGGTCCATACCCTCAGTTCATCCCTGCCAAGTCCAGCCAAGTTCACGCCTGGGCTGGGAGCCCGTCTCAGTCTTTGACGGGCTCAGGATCCTCGAGGACACAGATGTGTCAGCATCTGACACCTGAAGGCTTGCCTGGCTCCTGGGTCTGAACCTCTGCCTAGGCCCAGCCCCAGCTCCGTAGCCATCCAATCTCCCTCTCTGTGCCCATCCTCCTCCTTCACCGGCCCCATGCTCACCTCTGTACTCATCCCCAGGCTCACCTCCATGGTCATCCCCATGCTCACCTCCGTGCTCATCTCTGTGCTTGTCCCCAGGCTCATCCCCAAGCTCATCCCCAGGCTCATCCCCATGCTCATCCCCAGGCTCATCTCCAGGCTCGTCCCCAAGCTCATCCCCAGGCTCACCTCCATGCTCATCCCCAGGCTTGTCCCCATGCTCATCCCCAGGCTCATCCCCAGGCTCATCCCCAGGCTCACCCCCATGCTCATCCCAGGCTCATCTCCAGACTCCTCCCCAGGCTCACCCCCATGCTCATCCCCATGCTCATCCCCAGGCTCATCCCCAGGCTCACCTCTGTGCTCATCCCCATGCTTGTCCCCAGGATCATCCCCACCTCCGTCTCCTACTCTGTGCCCATCTGCATTCTTAACCCCAACCCCACGCTCATTCTCAACATCTTCCTGTCTATACAATTCCCACTTTGCCAGAGGACAAAAGAGGTCAGTAACAAGCCCAAAGTTGTACCGCTGGCTAGCCAGATCCAGCACTCAAACCTGACACCACTGGACACCAATGGTCAGGCTCTGAACTCCCACGCCACACTCCGGCATGGCACCGGTCCCCGGGTCCCCGGCCTCTGGCCCTTGTATGACCTCTGGACCTTGTATGACATCACTTTGCCGGCTCCTGACTTGGTCCCGATCGGTTCAAACTTCAGCCAGCCTGTGCGTCTCAGCTCAGTTGTACCAGCTACTGGCCCCTGGCTGGACCCTTAGCCCTGTTGCCTCCCCAGGACCTCATGGGGCTTCCCCACTCCCAGGTTTCTCCAGGCCACCACAACTCTGATGACAGGACGGACAGGCAGGTCGGAAGACAGGCTCAGAGGAGGGTGTCACAGAGGAGGTATTTTGGGTTGGAACGGGTCCGTTCACGTTCACGGCCTCCAGTAAATGGCATGGTGGGTTCTCCACTGCGGAGAGAGAAGATGGGGAGGAGAACCCACGGCTCCACAGAGGGTGGGGCTTGTGGAACGTGCCAGGGCATCAGCGAGGAAAGGATGATTTTGTTCCGGTTTCAGATGCTTGCTTTTGGCCGGAGGGAGACAGGGGCCAATTGGCTAATTATAACCTGAAAGTCACTGGCTGATGGCCAGATCTCTTTTGATAGGTACGGCCACCGGCACTCTGTTCTGCTAATTTCACTGCTATTTCACTCACCTTCCCAAAGACCCAACCCTCCCCCACCCATGGCCGCTGGTTTTTCCAATACACTTGATTGTCTGTATCTTCTTCTGCTTCACCCCTCCGTCTGAGTCTCCTCACCGAGGCTAAAGAGAATCATTCACGCAGGCGCACACCCCACCCCCCCACTCATGTCCACCCCACCCCTCCTTTTGTCAGCTTTTGTTCCATTTCTGCCCGCCCCACCCCCACTCCCTTCCCCCCACCATCCTTAGATCTTAATTTTTTTTCCTTATCCTTTATTATTATTATTATTTTTGAGAGACAGAAAGTGCAAGTCGGGGAAAGGCAGAGAGAATGTCAAGCAGGCTCCACACTGTCAGTGCGAGTCTGACGCGGGGCCCGAACCCACAAACCGTGAGATTATGACCCGAGTCAAAGTCAGACGCTTAACCGACTGAGCCACCCAGGCGCCCCTGATATTGTCTTTTGTGACGAGCCTCTTCAAGTCTCTATTAATTTTCTATTTTTAAAAAGATTTTATTATTTTTTTTAATGTTTATTTTTGAGGGAGAGAGAGAGACAGAGAGAGAGCATGAGTGGGGGAGAAGCAGAGAGAGAGGGGGGAACACAAAATCTGAACCAGGCTCCAGGCTCTGAGCTGTCAGCACAGAGCCTGACTTGGGGCTCAAACCCACAAACTGTGAGATCATGACCAGAGCCAAAGTGGGACGCTTAGCCAACTGAGTCATTCAGATGCCCCAATTTTCTTTCTTTCTTTCTTTTCTTTTCTTTCTTTCTTTCTTTCTTTCTTTCTTTCTTTCTCCTTCCTTCCTTCCTTCATTTCTCTTTCTTTCTTTCTTTCTTTCTTTCTTTCTTTCTTTCGTCTTTTTCTTATTGATTGTAGGGTTTAAAATTTTTTAAAAATACATTCTAGGGCACCTGGGTGCCTCAGTCGGTTCAGTGCCTGAGTCTCTTCTGAACTCAGGTCTTCATCTCAGGGTCATGAGTTCAGCCCCACATTGGGCTCTGTGCTGAGCATGGAGACTACTGAAATTAAAAAAAAAAAAAAATTTAAATGCATTCTGTATACACACTCTTTTTGATTATATGGAGTACCACAGTCCATTTGGACGGACGCTTGTCTTTTCATACTCTCAGTGGTATCTTCCAGGGAACAGAAATTTAACTTGAGGGGCGCCTGGATGGTTTAGTCAGTTAAGCATCTGACTCTTGATCTCTGCTTCGGTTGTGATCTCACTGTTTTTTGAGATCGAGCCTGGCGTTGGGCTGTGTGCTGACAGAGGGGAGCCTGCTTAAGATTCTCTCTCTTCCTCTCTGCCCCTCCCCTGCTTGCTCTCTCTCTCTCTCTCTCTCTCTCTCTCAAA